AATTTTTCTTCCGCCTGCAGCCTTTAGTCTGTCACCGCATATCTTATCAGAGCTACTAGAAAAATTTTCCTCCTTGTTGCCCGTAGTTTAGTACGTCTTACCTGTTGATTCAGCTAACTTGATTAGCAGTGATCCTCTCAAGTTACTGATCTTGAAAATGATTTTGACAATCCCATTACTGCTACCAAAATATTACACCCCGGATGGGCTACGAACTTATTATTTGGGAAAGTCGGGTTCGTCAAGCCTAAAGAGTTGGAACAGGATCTGAGCAGGATCAAGGGTGGAAGGTTCTTCGTAAATCACATTCACTTACTTTTCGTAAACTGATAAATTTATTCTGTTAAATACACAATGAGTTTAATATTACATTTAAGATTCCGTTTAGCGCTGGTTTACAATATTCTCACACACAGATTCAGGTATCATTGGGCGACTCGGCACGGCTCGATACTCGGGAGGCCGACAATGCACAATACTTGAGATTCGGTTATCACGTTTCTTGTGAACTTAGCGATGAATTTTCGGTGCTGTGACCGAATCACGACGAATTATCACTCCATAATTATTTTGTACGACTCCAGTTTTGCCAAATTCTCGTTCTCGGGTAACCGATTATATAGTGATAATCGATGCTCGATAAACAATTCTGATCGGATTCATCATTCGATTGCGCAGTATTGGTCAATCAATATCGCTCACAATTCAGCTGAGCGCAATTAAGGATTTCGCTGATCGAACCTTTCGCAATCATTTCGTGCGATGCGTTTCCGAAAGATTGATCGCAGCTTTTGCTGTCTTGCACTTCCGCAATCTTTCGAAAGACTTTTCTTACTGTTGCCATTGAATTTACTGTTGCGGACTCTTAATATATCTAATTATAGGTACGGCTACAACATAACGTATCAAATAATGTACAGTGTATTAAACAATGTACAATGTCAAATGTTGTACATTTTACATAATGTACTATTTCCCAAGTACATTTCGTTAACTACCTTGTGACTCAAATAAGAAGGGAGGGTGTGCGTCACGGCGGGGCCCGACCACGAACCAGTCGTGAAAACTCGTAATTATTTTGCGAAAAAATACTCAGCCAGGAATTCAACCTGGATCTCCTTACCGGGCAAGCATTCGACTATTCCTTCGAGGCATGTGATGATATTTATCGCGAATAACATGTTTAGAATAACACGTCAACAATACAATGATACACATATATACGTATATTACAATATACATATATACATGTATTCTCTCGAATCCCCACGACCGGTACTCCAGAGAGATGATGGTCCTATTCGACCATCATCGCATGCAGGTCGGACTGTAGCGACATCATCGGATGCAGGTCGGACTGTAGCGACACCCTCCAATGTCATTGGCAAATATACAAATAATCCTCCTGGTGCGCGACAGGAGAAATTGCATCAAGCATGTAGGCTCGAGCCCTCGAATAAGAAGGGAGGGTGTGCGTCACCTTGGACAATTACATCTTACATTAAGCACATACATAATAATACTATACATATAAATAATAAATGCATGTTTAAATTTTGATTATGACTTCGCTTATATAGAAAGTTTGATAAATTTTGCATGTGAGAAGCAGACTCAATCTAGCGGTTAAGTTAGTTTTCTAATTATTGTGTTTAGTGACAGACGCAGAGTTTTGTTGCCGATTTCTGTTACCGATTTGCCGGCAGATTATGCCAGCAGGCTCTATTTCATTTCTGTTACAATTTTGCCGCCACGACGTGACGGCATATTATGTTTAATTTTTGCTATTTTTTTATCTACAACAGCTGATAAAACAGATCCGTATATTTGCTGCAACGTCATAACGGCACACTGTGCTCGATTTCTGCTGCGTTTCTGCCGACACACTTATAAGGCATCATGCTTTATACCTGTCGAAATTTTGCCGTCACGATGTGATGGTATACTGTACGTTTCTGCTGCCAGTATCTGATGTCACAGATCGTGTTGCATTCTTGTTGCATTTCTGCTGTCACAGCCTGTATGGAAAGAAACTATTGAGAACTATTGAGAAATATAACTATTCAGAAAACTATTGAAATTTTGTGCAGTATTATGGGACATTACTATTAGAAACATGAATAGTTTATTATTGGAACGAATAGTAACCATAGGCACTTACTATTCATTACTATTAGAATCGTAAATAGTTTACTATTGGAGTAGTTTACTATTGGAATAGTAATTATAAGGATTTACTATTCTTTACTAATAGAAGTAGTTTACTATTCTATTGGAACAAATAACTACAAGTTACTAATTCGCGATTTTCATGAAAAAGAAATCTGATATTAATATTGAATGATATGCCAGTTACTCTGAATAATATGCGGATACTCTAATTAGTAATCTTTTCATTGTATTTTTTAAAATAATGTTATGATGTATGTACAGGATGTCTTATTTTAAATAACGGATTGAGATTTTTCGAAAATTATTGAAGAAAAACGTTTGAAATAAAAGATATACGTTTTGAAGGAAGACAAATAATGGTAAAATTAATTTTCGAAAAATCGATACATGATTTCTCCGATTATTTTGCATATAAAAATATTAAGATAAAATTGTAAAAAAAATAATAACTTTACATTTTACTCTTGCACATTTCAACATAAAATATAAAATATGTCATAAACTATTCAGTCTTTACTATATCTTAATACTTTTATGCATAAAATAAGATAAATAAATTAGTGCATAAAAAACATATAGTTGTTTTTAAAAAAGAATTATGCAATTCGTAATATGCAATTACATGTTTTTTAAAAAGCAACAGCATTTTCCTTACACCCCCGTATGGAAAGAAATTATTGAAAACTATTGAGAATTATTTAGATTTCTATAGTTATCATTCAATTTCTGTAGTAACTTGAGTAGTAACTATTGACGATTACATGCATGAACAGCTATTCAATTACTATTCATACACGTAATTGCCAATAGTTACGTTTCAGAATTATTCGCCAATTACTATTCATGCATGTAAATCGTCAACAGTTACTACTCAAGTTACTACAGAAATTGAATGGTAACTATAGAAATCTGAATAGTTCTCAATAGTTCTCAATAGTTCCTTTCCATACGGGAGTGTCAAAGAATACATATGCCAGATTTGGTATCCTATAGTGTCCAATCATACGTGTCCAATCGAGTCGTGTTCAATAATTCCGTGTCCAAAAGGAGGTCACCTAGGTAATACTAGACTGGGACCGTAAGTGATGCTCCGAGTAGGGCTATGCGCGATTAATGTATTCCTATATAAAAAATATCACAGATCACTAGATTGAGAAGTACAATGTCACAAGAGTATTTGAGACACACCACGAACACTAGACGAGCAGACACAGTTTTAAAGTTTATGAAAAGTCCGAAACCAATAAGCCAAATGGTATTCCGCGGATCTTGGAGAGATTATATTAATGCTCTCCAAGTGAGCAAATCCAATGCCGAGAGAAATAAGAAAGGATTCACTCGCCTGTCACGTGAACATCATGTGATGAGCATGAGCACGCCTTGGTGATGTAGCCTTGAGATAATCCGGCAGCACTCCTTATCACTTCACTTCACTGAATATCCAGATGAGTGAATCCTTACGATTAAAGCTTTTTCTTCTTTTTATAATTTTCTTAATGAGAACCTCACAAGAGCGAAGAACTATTCCGAGCGATGTGTGATGCGCATGATGGCCGAAACGAGAGAGAAAGATTTACCGAGAGCGCGTTCCCCCGTCTTTCCAGGTGGCCAATTTCGGACGATTATGCATTATTCATGAACGTCCGTGACGTACTGCCATCTAAGAAAGAGACGCCTGCACGCGACTTTCAATGAGAATATAAACTCATTCTCGAACATTCCGCCCGCCATCTGCAAGTTTTTGCTGATGTTGATCGTCCGGATGAACAGGTAAAGGTGCGAGCTTGACGATGGGTCGAGTGAATGGTGGCAGTTTTAAGCGTGACAATCCTGGTGAGTCCATCTTTTTCTGATTACAACTTCAGAATCCTTGCTAGAGACCACTTGCTTGGTGATAGTCTCTCATCCGTGAGCAGAACTAATGAGCCAACCTTGATGATGTTGGATGGATGCCACTTGGAAATGGATTGTTGATGCTAGTTGACGTAGATAGTGAGCCGACCATTGAGACCAGAATTGTTGAATCCGTTGTTGAATAAGTTGATGCCTACGAAGGTGGTTTGAAAAGTCCATGCAAAAATAAAAACTACTTAATTTTTCGGGATAAACCCTTTTTATTTTGCAGCGTAGTCTCCTTTTAGGCTTGTACACTTCGTCCAATGCTGCTCCAGTTTGTTGAGCCCTTCCGAATAATATGATTTGGTCCAACTGTGCAAAATAGGCATTTGTTTCCGCAATCACTTTCTCGTTTGAATGAAATCTTCCCGCTAGCCATTTCTTTGCATTGGAGAATAAATAATAGTCCGAGGGAGCCAAATCTGGAGAATAAGAAGGATGCGGAACGCGTTAGAACCGTAACTTCATCAATTTTGCGGCCACAACTCCAAAGGAGTGAGCTTGTGCGTTGTCGTGATGGAAAAGGACTTTCTTGTGGTTCAATCGTTTTCTTGCAGTTCGGTTTTCAAACGGTCCAATAATGATGAATAATATTCACCTATAATAGTTTTACCCTTTTCCATATAGTCGATGAATATTATTTCTTGCGAATCCCAAAAGACAGACGCCATAATTTTTCCGGCCGAAGGAATGATCTTCGCCTTCTTTGGTGCAGATTCCCCGCTGGCAACCCATTATTTGAACTGTTTTTTTGTCTCAAACGTGTAGTGTATCCATGTTTCGTCCACAATGACGAAATGACGTCTAAAGTTCTGTGAATTCCGTTGAAACAGCTGCAAACATTCCTTGGAACACTTCACACAATTTCGTTTTTGGTCAATTGTTGTTTGAGCAATCGCGACACTCATCTTGCAGATAACTTTCATACCCAAATGTTGATGCAAAATATTATGTATCCGTTCACTCGAGATGCCCACAGCATTAGTAATTTCACGCACTTTGATTCTTCTATCATCCATTACCATATCATGGATTTTATCAATGATTTCTGGAGTAATAACCTCAACAGAGCGTCTAGAACGTTCAGCGTCACTTGTGCTCATATGATCACTCCGAAACATTTGAAACCATTTATAAACTATTCTAATCGAAATTGCAGATTTACCATCATGTTTATCAAGTTTCTTTTTAATCTTCTGAAGTGATTTGCTTTTCATAAAGTAATGCTTGATCAATATACGAAATTCTCTTTCATCCATTTTTAGAAATCACTCGACTTCCTCGATTCAGACGAACGCTAAATACAAAGAAATAGATCAATCTGGCTGAAACTTGGTGTGTGTTCTTCCAAGAGATGCTACTAACTGAAAATAACTTCGATACACACCAGTGGTACTACTTTTTCTGACTTTGCACGGACTTTTCAAACTGCTCTCGTAAAGCCTAGAAGAGGACAGATCAAGCAGAAATGATTTGAGAATTGAGAGCAGACCCGATGAGAAAATGGCCAGGAGTTAAAGCAGAGACGTCTTCATGGTCACTGAGCGATTCGTGCGGTCGAGAGTTGAGAGCAGCTTCTATTTGAATGAGAAATGTTGAGAATTCTGCGTAGGTGAGCAGTGGGTCTCCAATTGTCCATCGAAGCAGTCCGTCTCCATTTGTCCATGAAATTTGATGGATTTCACAACAGCTTTCTACTTGCCACTCATATATGGCCATACTGAAGCATTGACCTTCCAATTGGTACCGTTTGCTGAGATAGATGAAATGATGACCTTGTGTTCTGCTGAACTGTCGAAAAGTTTCTCGAGAGCCACGTCTGCACCGATCAAGTTGGTTCCACAATAAAGAGTGAGCTGCTCCTCTTCTTGAGACAAATTTTTTGTACGCAGCTAAATCTTCCATTGAGTAGTTGCTGACGATCTCTAAATGAATTGCAGACGTTGCGAGACACAAACACACAGATCCAGCTCTTGTATGTTTTAGAGCCTCGTCCCTTCCAAGCTTTGAGCTGCACTGGTCCTGCGTAGTCCACTCCTGTGTGTAAAAAAGCACGTGCGAAAGTCATTTGTGCAAGAGGGAGCTGACCCATGACCTAATGTGTGTGAATTCTTTATTGTCGAACGCAGACCATACATTTGAGCACATGAGATTTTACTGGATCTCCTACCAATTATTCAATAAGTCTGACGAATTTTTGCAAGGGTCAATTGAGTGCCACCATGAAGAGTGACCTTATGAGCATCATCGATGATAAGAGATGAGAGCTGAGAGTGACCTGGTAGGATTGCTGGATCACTTTCTTGATAACTAATTAAGAGTCTTCCTCCACACGAATACCTTAGTCGATGAATGCCGTCAATCTGGAGAAGACATGAACTGATGGTAGTTGAGTACCGTGGTTGAGCATCTTGAGTTCAGAGAGAAATTGAGAGAAGTATGCTGTTTAAGTTGCCTTGATCCAAAAGAGTTTAGTTTGTTCAATATCTTGTGTGGAAATGATGAAGGAGTTGAAGGAGAGCTGAGCTTTTGCTTGAATTGGCATTTGTCGACAATTGTTGGATTTGGGCTATTCTGCTTCTGACGTAATTTTTCCAACGGGATGCATGAGATTTGATTCATATGAGAGTGACTTGAGAATTCGTTCACAAATGAATTGAATTTACCTTGAGCTTGAACATGAGACATGAGCTTCGTGAGTAGTAGCTCTGCAATGAGTTCTAACTTGGGAATGGTTAGTTTCTCGAGCGGAGCAACTTTAGTCTTTCAGCATACAACGACGTTGTAGAGCCAATAGACGATAAACGGACAGTCAAATAAATGCTGCCATGGCAAGTTGAGATATATCTGAAAAACTATGAAGTTTCACCCTTGAGTTGCTCCATGTACTAAACCATCATGGAACTGAGACGCTAGCTAGCGATCTGAGCTCAGCTCTTATTGCCGACCATTTAGAGCTGAGAAGAGCTGGTAATGGATCGTCCCAGCCCAGAGTGACTTGCACGATTGTTTCGCTGCGCGGCCCTAAAGTTACGCGCCTGTATGGGTACAGTCTGAATTTCGTATTTTGAAATTGTACTGAATTTGTTTTTGGATTGAACGCAGTTATGTATTTCCAAAATGAAATCTGCTCCTAGAATTGCATCGTATTCCATTGGCGCATTATCTCGCACTATGTATACGGGGTGTCGTATCTTTTTTCGCGACAATTGCACCGTAACATGTGTTTTGCCGAATGTTATTATTTCATATCCTGTTATGCCTGTTAGTTTAGTTTTCTCTTCATAGATTAGGACGTGGTCTAGAACATGTTTTAGTTTTATTATTATTGCTGATGCTCCCGTATCAAACAAGAAATATATTTTTTCTACCTTTGGCTTCTGCAATCGGTAATGTGATCGCATTTAATCCAGTGTTGACGAACGATGTCTTCTTGACGTATGCCACGCGATACTCTGACGCGGGGCGCGGGACGGTCGGTTTATCTTCGTCGATTTCGCTGTTTTTATTTTTAAAGTTCTTCGCGGGATTTTCTCTTCGCGAATTCAAAAAAATTTTTCCGGAATTTTTGCTGTTTTCCGATTTTCCGTTTAATGTCCAACATTCGTGCCATAAATGTCCTATCTTTTTGCAATAGCTACACTGTTTTTCAATTGTATTTATTCGTGGTTGTCCTTCTGGCTTAGGCAGGGTATATCTATTTGAGAAACGGTTAGTCCTATAATCGCGCCCGTATTGACCGATTTTTCCGCATTTTTCACAACGCGGACTGGGTGTATGCGCTTTAAATACTGGCCGGTTTTGATAGGTTAGCGTTCGCGTGCTAGGTCCTCGCGTTTTTTTTTCCGCGGTTGCTCCTGCGATTGCTTCCTGTATTGTTTGATATCGCTGCGATCATACAATCAATTTAATTTCGTCGTGTAAACCGTTCTGGTAATTGTAGAGCGCCTGCTCTTTTATATTTTCTAAAATCGCGCGTTTCTGTTCGACCGTATGATTTTTTCCTTCTTCTATGGATTCGTATAATTCCATGGCTATATTGTCTGTTCGTCTGCCGAATTCTTGTGCATTCTCGTTTGGTTTTTGTTTGAGCGAGTTAAATTCGAGTTGTAAATGTGCGGTACTTCGTTTGCTCAAATATTCTTTTTCTAGTTCTCGTTTTAATTGTTTGAAGTTTATTATATCTCGCGTACGGAAATCCATCATGGCCTTGCCTTTGAATTTAGTGCAAAGAATGGCTTCTAATAGAGAATGTTCATCCGCGGGATGTATATTTTTATTGCGTACGTACTTGCATTTAGAAATTCGTACACGCGTCCTCGTGACGTGCCATCGATCTCTGGGATCATGTTACGCGTGTCTTTCAGTGTGAGGAATGTCAGTGCATTTCCCGGCTGGTTTCGTATATCTTGATACGAACGTCCGTAAGTTAGATCTAATGGGTGCGGCAGAAAATCCTGAGATATTCTCGTTCGTTCGCCCATAGGCAATTGTGTTTGCCGGCTTAATCCGTTGACTTGCACACGGAGATCGCGTATTTCATCCATTAATTCTCGAAGGAGACTGTTATCGGGCGGTGCGTTGATTGTGACGTGGTTCGTTCGACTTTCTTGTGGTCCATGTCTCTCGACCGAATGTCGTAGTTGCAAAATTTCGTTGTCGATTTCGTTCTGTTGTTCGACAGGTGAGTGAGCCATTTCGTTTATTAGCGATTGATATATGTTGAAAGAATTAAATATGTTTCCGTCTCATAAGATTGTATGTATGTGTTTGCGCGCTTGTACGTGTGTGTTAAGGTGAGAGTCGGTGTCGTTCGGTTCAAGCAAGCTGTAATCTTTTTCGTCGTACGGAAATTCGCGTTCGGTTATTACGTGGACGTTTTCGTCACTATCGTATCGTAGTACGCGGCGCACGTTATCGCGTATTTCTTTTAACGCGTTTCTCGCGGTATTTAACGCGGAGATAGTATGCGGAAATTTTACGGGATTATTTATTGACCGCGATTTTGGCCAAGTCGCATTCGCTAAGCTGTCCTTTGCTGCGGATTCGCCTTTTTAAAATATAATTTTTCGGACTTACAATAGTAGATAGATCATATACGCTCGCATGGTCGCTGCTTGTGCTGGCGTGTCAGTTGGCTGCGTGTAGTAGTGTCGGTGAAGCGTCCTTGCTGACTGGTATCGTTGTACACGGTCAGCGCTGGCTGGCTCTCGGTGCTCGTGGACTCTCTGGTCGTTGCTGCCACTGGACACTCGTTGTCGTAGGTCGGCACTCTACTAATGTTGCACTATACACTTGACACAATTTCGTGGGCGGCTTATTTTTTGACGGGGCCTTTTCCGTCCGCCTGTTTTCTACAGGTCTTGTATTTTCTGCTTATCGGGAATTTGATTCTTCTGCCTGCTTGTAATTTATTACTACAGGTCTTATCTTGTTTCTTCAAGAAAAAAAATTGTTTTTTTTTCTTCTTCTGCCCGTAATACAATGCGTCGGGGCTTACTCGTTTGATTCTGCTGGCTTGATTAACGATGATCTTCTCAAGTTGTTGTTCTCGGGGATGGTTTTGACTATCCCACCGCTGTCACCAAAATGTTGTACCCCGGATGGGCTACAACGATATTATTAGAGATAGTCGGGTTCGTTAAGCCTAAGGAGTTGGGACTCCGAGCAGGATCAAAAGAATTTAAGGAAATCTTCTTGAATTCACTAACACACTTTCCTTATTTTTATTGGTTTATTTAATAAATGCACAAATTCTTGAGATTGGTATTTCTTGTTTTATTACTTTACACACGGTTAAACGTCGGCGGGCGGCTCGGCGCGTATCGCGTTACTCTGGCGGCCGACGACTGAATATGTCACCTGAGACGCTGATAGTACGGCTCGCGTGAACTTCGCCGCGCTCTTGTAATATCTTGCGCGATAATTATAATAACGATTCCGAACGAAACGTTATTCTTTACTTTTGACTCTCCAGCGACTCCGCCTTGTGTAACCGGTTATATAGTCTGATCGATGCCCGATCAGCATTCTGATCGGTTGCGTGATATTGATTAATCAATATTACGCTCGGTTTGATCATCAAATTTAGGAATTTGCTGATAGGCTTTTTCGCAATGTTCTCGCGTGATGCATTTCTGCGGTCTTTCGAAAGACTGGTCGCAATTTCGGCGGTTACACATTTGTGTCGTCTTTCGAAAGACTTTTCGAGATTCATGCGACCTAATTTTGTTGCCATGCGGACTACTTTTATTATTGGTTGTTATTTTATTATTGATTGTAGATCTGGCTACAACAAGACCCACACTTACAATCCGTTCACTAACACC